TTTAATATCTGCTGTTACTTTCTACACTTCATCAGTCCCAGCGGCAGCATAACAGCTTGTTAATTCGTGTTCGTGCAATGAGACGGACAAAGTTAGCCGATGCATGTCATTTTACTATCTCGTGTAGATAAAGTTATCAGGGTTACGGTGCACAAACTCCTGTGTGGACTGACTTATATATATATATATATATATATGAATTTTGAAGAAAATGTTGTATAATAAAATATATAATATTTGTATAATATTGAAGAGAAGCTAGTTTTAAAGGTGATGTGTCATTTTGTCTTTTGAAACATTGTATATTTTAATGTTTGAAACGTATATTAAAATTATTTCATTCCATTTTATTAGTTTTAATCAATTTTAAATAATAAAATGTTTTTGTTTTTCCTTTATATTACTTATTTTTTATGTTCTTGAGTATTTAAATGGCCTTTTTATTTATTTTTTATTTCTCTATCCTATTTAAACCAATGTAAAGCACTTTGAATTACCATTGAGAATTAAATATATAATATATGATATATGAAAAACTTGCCATGCCTTGCCTGTTCATCTGTCTGTCTGACTGTATCACAATTTGTGTACAGTTCTGTATTGGACATTGTATCTTGTACTATACTGTATAGTGTACATCATTTTATATGATACTTTATGGTGTGTGTAATAATTTATAAAAATTATAACACCATCTTTGTTTCCACTCATTAAACATAGTTTCTGTCATTTCTACTCCACTTTATGAATTTTCAGTTTCATCTGGATTTTCTTGATCAGTAATTACATTCAAAGGGGTCTAAATGGTATAACTATTTTACTTAAAAAAAAAAAGTAAAGCAATTACATTTTTAACATTTTCAGTTTTAGCCAACTGAAATGTTTTACAATGTATATTGTATGATCTTACACATAATATTAAACAGTAAAAAAAAAATCTTATTACCTCTGTTTTAGACCCCAATTCTCTGATTTAAGTATCTAGGAATACTAATGTCCATAATTTAAGTCTATTTGAACACCACTAGCAGACTAAATGACAGACCAGCAGCAGTAGTAAAGTCATCCAAACCCTAGACAAGCGTAACCTATAGAACACACATAAAACTGGCAGCAAAACAAAATCATTGCCCTAAAAATGCCAATAGGGGACAACGATACAGGATAGATCTGTGTTCTGTGTATCTGTAATTAATGAACACTGCTGCTTTTACAGAATTGCTTGCGTAGGCTTAAGAGACAGAGAATCCAACAGACATAGATCAGGAGATGAGCGGCGGGCCCCGTCTTCAATCACGCAGCACTGAGGTGCTTCATCTCAGCTCAGCGTCACAGTAAATGAGGGCCAAGGGGCTGCTAACGGCTCCTCGGGGAAGATCAGAACAGAGCCCTTGAGCGGACTGATGGCCTTTCTAGGACTACATCCAGAAACAGGAGATGTGTACTTGGGTAGTTGACAAATAATGTGGGCATGAACCTTTTTTCAACATGCTAAGTTAAAGTATATATGTGACCCTGGACCACAAAACCAGTCTTAAGTCGCTGGGGCAACTATTGTCCTATCCTAACAAGCTTATTTATTCAGCTTTCAGATGATGTATAAATCTCAATTTCGAGAAATTGACCCTTATGACTGGTTTTGTGGTCCATGGTCACATATAGCTGTGGTAGCTTTTGTCACCTGTGGTAAAAATAACCATTTTAATCCCCTTTTTGCCTTCATTATTTCACTTGCCCTGCAGCAGGACGAATACATTTGTAAAAGTACAAATATTCCATGTTGATTCCAAATTACATGAATTACCTAAAAATCGATAATTTCCTATTATCAATGTTTAAAAACAGCTGTACTCCTTAATATTTTTGTAGAAACAGTGATACATTTTTTTCAGGATTTTTTAATGAATAAAAAGTTTAAAAGGACAGCATTTATTTGAAACAGAAATCTTGATAAATGTAAGAAATGTCTTTTCTGTCATTTTTGAGCAACTCAATGCATCCTTGCTGAATGAAAATATTTATTTAATTAAAAAAAAAAAAATCTTGCTAACCCCAAAATAATGGCTAAAATTACTGAATAGTATTTTTTATATATCTATGATATATCTTGGCCTTTTAGAAGCTGAGAACGATATTATGCTTTGATTTTTATGTTTATAATATTTTGCACTATTAAATATTGTGTACTACAAGTGGTAAACAAGATTTTATAAAGCTGCTCACCATGCATAATAATATTTAAAACGTTAAATCCTTAACAAATAAGGTTAATTATATTGGTGATTTATTTTTATATAAAAAAAATATTTTTTGGTAATTCATGAAAGCATATATGAAAATAAAATTTTATCAAATGTCAATCTTGTTTAATTGTATTTCTTTGCACATTAAAACTATTGGTATATTGTCCATATTTATTAAATATATTGATCAAAACACAATCCGATAGTTTTATGCTTATAAGAAACATCTAAAAACCAGCAAACACAGAACAAATCACATGCCTCACCCTTTGACTCGACCGGTATTGTGTGTCAATGTGTGATTGTCTTCATTGGAAAAAACAGGAAAACCGGCTGGAGAGAAGACATAAAAGATAAACATTAATATGGCAAATATAATTCACTGATTCATTGTTATTCGTTTATTCATTTTAATAAAGATGGGGTGTTTGAACACCTTGTGGTCTCCCATGCAGATGTTGGAGCCCAGTGTGTTATAAACAACACCACTCTCACCCTCCTGCCTCTGCAGACAACCAACAATGAATCAACTGGTTATTCATTTAATCACTTGGATTTGTAAAAAGTAAGAAACTTAACTTAATTAAGATCACATTAACAGTAATAAATGTAAACTCACCCGGTGGATGATGTCTCTGGCGCTGTGGGACATTAGGATGCGGTCGCACCATGCTGGGCATCGCGTGTTCATGTACTGTGTAGGTTTAGTGTAGTCTTCACTGTATGGATAACTGAAAACATTGAAACAACAAGATACGCGCAACATGAACATCACACTGTTTTGGACTGACAATTACAATACATCATTTAAAGTCCCCATGAAATCAAAATTAAAGTTTTTTGGGTGGCGGATCACATGCGCGAGTCGGCGCAGACCACAAAATGTATCGGAGCTATTTGAATTCTACACAGAATGCTAGATTTTTTAGCAATATGGATGAGATTGTGGCTGGCATACCCTGCGGCTTTACGGAGCTCAACGGCTCTGAACGGCTCTAGCCCAAGCTGTGATATAAACGAACGCTATTGGCTATTTTAAAAAGGGGCGGGGCTGCTTGATATGTCCCGCCTGTCTTCCTGTTTCAGTTAAAATGACGTCAACACAGAGAGTAACGCTGCGTGTTTCTAAGCATTTCAGGGGACCTTTAAAGACATTTGACTTCTGTTATCTGACACACTGCATCAAACGTTTGGGGTTGGTAAGATTTTTTTAATGTTTCTGAAAGTCTCTTGTAACTTGATCCAAAAATACAGTAAAAAAATTACAAATAAATCTAATTATTTAAAATAACTTTTCTATTTGAATATATTTTAAAATATAATTCATTCCTGTGATATAAAGCTGAATTCAGCATCATTACTCCAAACTTCAGTGTCACATGATCCTTCAGAAATCATGCTAATATGCTGATTTGATGCTTTCTTATTATCATCAATGTTGAAAACAGTTGTGCTGCTTAATATTTTTGTGGAAACTATGATACATTTTTTTTTAGGATTAGTTAATGTTGTTTAAAACGATACATTTTGGTCTTGCAGAAAGTTTATGCCTTTCAGAAGCTAAGAACAATATTATGCTTTGATGAATATTTAGCACTAATGAATATTGTGCACTTTATGTTGTTTAACTAGACTTCTTCAAGCTGCTCACCTGGGAGGAAAGTGGATCTCCTCCTCTGTGATGACGTCGAGGAATGCCGAGATCTCCTTATCGTACTTCAGCAGCTGAAAGACAGAAAAATACATAAGCACAGACCCATTTTTATTGATATGCTATTTTGATTATAATCTGTGAAATTCTAGTCAAAGTTCAGACCTCTTTTCCGTTGTTTTCTCTGAACACGGCCTGGTGCAAGTAAGCAAATAACTTGGTCTCTATGTGAAGGAGGACCTAGTGATGGAGTGGTTAAAAAAAGGACAGGAAGAAAGAATGAGGTAAGGAAGAGAACGGAATAAAACAAGAGTAAAGAAAAAATAAACACAGGAAAGACAAAGAGGTGAAAAGAGAAGGACAGGGGTTAAGGCAGGGGATAAAAAACTAGCAAAGAACGGAGAGTAACTCCAACTTTGCTGGCACAAAAAAAATGAAGCGCACGTCTGCAGGAGTGATCTAAATGCAAGCTCGCATTTTCTGGACTGGCAAGAAGTCAATATCAACCCTCCAAAAACCATAAATCTGGCTGGACAGTGTACTGGATATGTCTGAGCGCACACAAAAAGAAAATATTAATCATCTACTGGACGCAAAGTCAGAGCCTTTAAGATCTATGTTTGCAAAGTCTTAGTAAAGCAAGTGTGACAGTCGATTTGCTGGTGGCTCTGTAAGAACTTTAAAAAAAAAACAATTGAAAAACAATTAACTGTAAATTTTTAAATGGTAAAAATAATAAATATTAATAATGGTCACAATCCTGGTGGCTCTGTAAGAACTTAAAAAAAAAAAACAATTGAAAAACAATTAACTGTAAATTTTTAAATGGTAAAAATAATAAATATTAATAATGGTCACAATTACAAAAGATATCACAAAAAGGCTCTTATGTTCATCAAGGCTGCATTTATTTGATCAGAAACGCAGTAAAAACAATAATATTGTGAAATATTATCACATTTTAAAATAACTGTTTTTTTTATTTGAATATATTTGAATTATGTAATTTATTCCTGTCATGCAAAGCTGCCATTACTCAAGTCTTACTACAATTGATTAATTAATCAGCATATCATATTATGGATTTACTTATTTATTTATTTATTTTAAACTGCTTTGAAAATAGATAATCACCTTATGGTCATTGTCCTTCTCTTCACAAATGATTTTTTCTACCTCGTTGCTGCAGTCTTTTTTTACCGTCTGGATATCAGCCGACATGGAGAGGTTCTGTACACAAAGAAATACACATATCAATCTTTATATAATTTATGTGTGTATGTGTTCAGTGGTTATGTATGACATATATCAGTCAGATCTACCTGTACTAGACTGAGTGTGTCAAGGCGGAAGTTGAAATCCCCAAACAAGAAGAAGGGGAGAGGACTGTAGCTGCTATCTGATATCCTGCAAGACATTAGCAAGAGTTTGAAACAAGACCACCAACCACGTCACATTCAATGTCTTTTCTGCTGAAAGATGACATGACACAGCATTTAACTGTGATGTATGTCTGTGTGTAAGAGAATATTCAGCTGGAATTAATTTTAGCCAGGACTCAATCCTATTCAGGCTTTGATTTGGTCATGAGTGAACTATGATATTATAGCGTAATATAATTGTTCTCCACCATTATGGCCTTGGTTTAAAGGAACAGTTCACCCAAAAATTAAAATTTGCTCTGCCTCAGGCCATCCAAGATGCAGATAAGTTTGTTTCTTTATGGGAACAGATTTGGAAAAATGTAGCATTACATCAGTTGCTGACCAATGGGTCCTCTGCAGTGAATGGGTGCCGTCAGAATGAGAGTCCAAACAGCTGATAAAAACATCACAATAATCCACACCACTCCAGTGAAGTGAAAACTGTGTGTTTGTAATAAATCCATTATTAATCTGTTTTTAACTTCAAATCATGCCGGCTAAAATACGAGTACTCTATCTATAAATATTGTTTTCTCCAGTGAAAAAGTCGTCTTGTTTGAATCAGGTGAGAAATATACACACATCAAGCATTGTTTACAAGCCGAAACAAATATGTTGGTGGATTTTAATTTGAAAGGACAACAGGGGACGGACTTTTTCACTGGATGAAGTGTTATTTTGAATTATGGACTTTATGGATTTTTGCCAGAAGCGACTTAAAACTTCTTAATGTTGAGATTTGATTCTTACAAACATGCGGTTTTTCGCTCCACAAGACATTAAGTGATGGACTGGAGTGGTGTGGATTACTTGTGGATTATTGTGATGTTTTTATCAGCTGTTTGGACTCTCATTCTGACGGCACCCATTCACTGCAGAGGATCCATTGGTGAGTGATGCAGTGCTACATTTCTCCTAAAAACTGTTCCAATAAAAAAAAAAACTCGTATGGACTGAGGGTGAGTAAATTTTCATTTTTGTTTTTTATAATTTTTCTGCATTAATGAATATATGGATATAACATGCACTAATGAATAGTATTTAATTGTAATTTCATGTTGTCTTTGCATTCACTGTCCTTTTTATTGCTTGAATTAATTTACACAAACTCATGTGAATAATTCAAGTGAATAATTCAGAAGCACAAACCTGTTGATGACGTATCTGAGCGCTTTCTTGCGGTTTGCCGAATACACTGACGGACTAGAGTTGCAGGCTATGAGGTTGGAGGCGTCGTGAAACAGGTGAACGTTCACCAGGTCTAAACCCCTGTACACACACAGATAAACACAAGACATATTATTACATTGGGGGAGGGGGTGTCTATCAATCCTGTCAGTCTCTGTGACTGTTGTGGGGCATTAGCTGATAGGATGGAGTTCACAGGCTCCATTCATTTATCACTCAGTCTTCAGGTTCCTGTACTGCTATTTGTACTGCTGCCACATGTCTACAATTAATGCACTTCTGATGCCACACTATTCCACTAACACAGCGTGTTTGCTTCAAGCTGAGGCCAAAAAACACATACACGATAGACTGTAAAGAAAATTATGAGGGACATCTCGAAAGGTGAAGAAGTGTGTGTGCAAACATACTGGTTGTGAATGAGCCATCGTGTCCTCATGTAGCCTTTTCTGGACCACTTGAACTGTAATTAAATGCACATACATATGCATATTAAAATTAAGGATGCATTCATATAATTTTAGAGACCAGAGAGTACCAGTGCTTTTTTTGGGGGGGAATTGCAAATAACTGTATTTTAGTCATAATGTAATTTTCAAGTATAGTACAGAGGAACTCCTTTGTTCTGCTTACTGTGTTTCTTTGTGTTTCAAGGTTTATGCAACAAATGCTGTATGTGCTGTACTGGAGAATTTAAGCAATACAAGTAGGAGTAAAATAAACTGGTGCATCCCTAAAAATGTAGTCAAAACAGAAGTGTGTGATACATGAGACTCTTAAGTGAATAAGAATTCACAACAATGGTTTAAAATATAAAAACTACCACTACACACACAGTAATACAATACTTACATCAGGCCAAAAGTTCTTAGGGAATTTCTCTTTTTCCATGGAAGCCACTCCTTCCAGCGAACCCACGTACTTGTTATGGCCTGAGACGGCTTTAAACTCGTTCACTACAAGGAGGAGGAATAAACAAACAAGACATATTGTAAGAAAAACATGCAAATGTAAAATCAATATACTAATGTTGGAGTTGTCGCGTGGCTGTAGGCTGTGAGCGCAGGATCTATGAGACACTGATTTGATAGGGCACCAAATTCATTGGTCCACTGATCTTAATGGCTCTTCTATTAGTCCTCTTCGTGAGAGCTTATTCATGAGATGCTGTGACTAGAACAGATGAAGTCAACTGAAAAAAAGCTCCTGAGGTTAAATCCTGTTCTATCAGAGACTCTAACTAAATGAGTCGAAGGAGAACATTTATTTGTGTGGTGTTGGGTGGAAATTTATCTCTCTGCTAATGGCAGTGAATGTGTTGTTTTTCGACCTGTGAGATTATGTGTGAATTTCACTGAAATTCATAACTTTATTACAAATTTTTCTATTTGAAAATTTTTTATTTTTGTACAAAATATAATTTACATGTTAAATGGAAATAAAGGACTAAATATTTATATCCGATTCATCTAACAAACATTTTATTTAACATTTACATCAATACTAATACTGTAATATATGGTAATAAATCATTCTGAGAACCAATACTGTTTCTCAAAGTCTATAAATTCACCTAACTTTTGAACTTTTGAATTCTCATTACTGTAAAGTATGCAATGTTTTTACTTCACATTATTCATTTACATTACTTTCAATGGTGTTTCTCAGTAGTTTTTCATGACTGTAATTCTGTCATTTTCTGTTAGTTAATACAAAGTATAAATTAATGGCAGTACTAAAGTACTTTAATGATGTATAGATACTTTACAATTTAGATAATATGCCATAATTTTTCATGTTAAAATGCTAAAAAATTTTATTTTTCCGGATGTGCTTAATTGTCAAGAAAATATTGTCACAATGCAAAAATATTAATGGTCCTAAAAATAAGCTTATTTTTGTAAAGAAAAATATAATTTCTTATTACACAGCTCTCGGTGTACAAATACTTCTGAATAAATCTCAGCTCATCCAGGTAACAATGCATGACCAGCTGACCACTCTATTACTGTTTTATTTTATATATCTTTGGACTATTTCATGCTTATTTATTTATTTGCTAAATAGCCATGTAATAAGAAGGATGATGCACATTCAGCTTGACATTTTGCAAAATAAACAAATCCCTTACACATTTGTGTCTTCTGATTTTGCAATATAACCTGGACTTCAACCATAATACCTTATATTAGTAAAAAAAAAAATAAATACAAAAAAATAATAATAATAAATATATATATAAAAAATACAAATAAAAAAAAAACTTACCATTGAAGTCATATTGTTGGATATTTTTCAGTGACTTGTGGATGAAATACATGCTTCCCAGAGCCTAAAATCAAATAAATCAATCAGTCAAACAAACAATCATGCATGATTTCATGTGATCTTCTGATTGAAGCTCTAATAATGTCCTGATTGGATACTGGGCTAATGACCTGACAGCTTAAAGTCATGCACAAGCAGGGGTTCACGGAGATCCCGATGTCTGAAGAGCTCATACATCATAATCTTTAAACCCTGACTTTCAAGACACTGTTACAGTCACTACCTTTCTGAAATCTCCCATCATAGACTCCCATCATAGTTTTGGTACCTAAACAACACCCAGATATGCCCATGCGATACTCACAAACCTCACACACACACTTCCTGCGTCTTTTCTGCCAGCGCGCTGAATGGATTTAATGTACTAGCTGCTTGCTCCAGTGAGCGCACATCAATCCAGCCCCGCAGAGATCAATACGGACAGAAAATTAAAACAATCACACAGGGATTTAACACAGAGCCCTGATGTTGGCCCAACAGAAGCCCCATGCATGGCAGAGAAAAATGACATGAAGCACGCCACACCATAAACGCATACACACATTTATGATTTCTTCAAAATATCCATCTCAGGAGAAAGATATAAATCTTGTGAGAGAAATTATGTTTTTTTGATATGACAGTTCTTTCTATATGACCAGTCTTGAGAGACTGGACATTACAGCAGGCACATGCACTACTCAAGTGCAACAGCTCTGGCGGGACACGGAGACGGGGAATGGGACTGCACTGGGAAATGACTGGATTACAACTTGTTTTGAACAAGGGGTCAAAGTTTGGCTGGTTAGCATTTTATATAATGATACATGATTTTATTATCATTAATATATTATATTTATTTTTTATCATTTTTTAAATCATTTAAAATTTTAATTGTATTATAATAGATGTTTTGTCAGTGACACTTTTAAGTTTTTGAAGGACTTTTAAAAACATAAAATGGACTATCAAGAATATTTATACAATACCATTCAAATGTTTGGGGTGAGTAAGATATCTAGATTAAAGTTTTTAACTTCAAGTTTTTATTTATTTATTTTTTCTATTTCGTATAAATGCTGTTTTTTAACTGTTTTCAACAATGATAATAATAAGAAATGCTTCTTGAGCAGCAAATCAGCATCATGAAAACTGGAGTAATGATGCTGAAAATTCAGCTTTGATCACAGGAATACATTTTTTACATTTTTAATTATATTCAGATATAAAAATTCAAAAACACTCAATTTTTTTAATCAAATAATGTTTTTCAAACATTAAAAAATCTTACCAACTCCAAATTTTAGAACAGTAATGTATATTTTTGTCAGCCTATAAGTGAAGATGACAGACTTCAAATTGCATACTTCCAGATTTAGATTCTTCCACACTTTGAGGCTAAAGAAATAAAAGCCAATATATTGCAGTAAAGTATCATTAAATGCTGTTGACAAGGATCTACTGTATTTGAAATAACACTGGGGCATGGGAAAAAAATGAGTCTCTTTGATCGCCAAAACAAATAACTGTGTGATGGCATAAAATAATCTAATCTTGCTAAAATTTTTGAAACTTTTTATAATGAAGGTCCTCACTGCGTGCATGAACTCACACACACACTCTAACATACACACATACAGCCATCGGTTGTGTTAACACCCACCTTCATTCTCATTTGTCTCACATCATCTGTATTGATTTGTAATTAGTTTTCTCAGGGTTGTGAATCATCGCTTGACTGGGAAGAGAGTGTGTGTGTGAATGCAGAGAGCGTCTGGCACACTCATCGTACAAATGGTGTTTAGATAAAAAAATCACTTTTAAGTCAATACATTTTTATTAAACGCTGCACTGGCCTGATTGATGAAGATAGGTGTAAAGCTATGAGTGTGCTGATCTCTATTTTAGTGTGTGTATGTGTGTGTGGGCACATTGAAGCTCATGTGAAGGGCCAAATTTGGTTTGACAAAGATGATTTTTGTTTGTGGCATTTCAATATTTTTACATGCATTTATAATTTGGTAACAAAAACTGAAGGTTTGGCAAAGGGTCCACGTAAAGAAAAACTCACTAACCCTCCTGCATCAACAAAACAAATACACACTCACTCACTCACACACACGTAGACCTTCAGTTTATTTATCATGCTCAGATGAGAGGGGCCTAATCAATAGTTTTAATCTTGAGTTAAACGTATTGACTCGGTCCGCTGCCTGGCCACTCCTGCACATTAACCCAGTCCATCAAGGTACAGACCTAACACATAGCGTACAAACACACACAGAGCACCTCTCACCTGGGTGGGCTGAGGGTTAATACCCTGCCAAACACCAGCAACTTCTCTCTTTTTACAGATTTTACTAAGTTACTTTGAGAAATAAAAGGGGTGCCCCAGGGCTCTGTCTTTGGTCCGTCACTTTTGTTAGACAGCAGCTGACTAAGAATCGACTTACTCAAGAGGTCTTTGTATTTTTGTTTAGAAACGATGTCTAACTTTTTAGAGAGTTTTTTTTTCTTTTCAGAATTCTAACATTTTCTGTTTGCAGGTTTAAATTAGATTCTGAATCCTCATTTTCAATACAGTCTTTCCCAGACTTTTAGACCCCAGTGTATATTTTATTTTGCATGACTTAATATTTTAAGATCTGTTGTAGCACTTTGACCAGTTCAAATCAACACAAGAGTGGTGAAATTATAAGTATGATTTGTTCATGTACTGGACTGATGCTGTTCTAGTCATCTCAATGATTTGATCACAGCAACTAACAGCTCACTGGGGGGGAACAATTATACGTTCTAAAACAAATATAACTGCGGTCTGTTACTCACTATTGGATGGCTTCAGAAGACTTGCAATATAGTGTACAACTTGTATAAAACACTATTATTGTGCTTTTTTTATTTTTGACCTTGAAAGACCCTGTCCTCATTCACTTTTGCAAAAAATATTCGTTTTTATTTTAGGTGGATGGCCTATGCCTTTAACTTTGAAGCACTGCTGTGATTATACACAAGAATAGCACTTCAATAACAGGAAGGTGAGTGAGATGGGTATTGGCAGAACTTAAAATGGTTATATAGCTCCACCTAGTGGACATACAAACCAACCACAACTCTGGTAATGCAAGAGTCAACACATTAAGAGATTCCATGATGGTTAAGATGTGATTCCTTTGAACTAAATCACTAAGGAACCAAGTGAAATCATCTTGTCAGATACTGCAACAGCCATATCACTCACCGTGAAACTGTCAACAGCCTTGAAATGACTGTCTACATATACACAGACTCTGTCGAAGTCGGCCATCTCAGAGCAGGACTCTATGGACCTATAACAATGATAAAAACAATATAATTCTTGCATATATATTAAAATAAAAACAATAAATACTGTAATTTTTAGCATTCTGTTTAATACATAGCTGTCATCCCAAAAAATACTTAAAAATATCGTAGTACTATCACATTATTTGGACATTTTTGGACGTGACATTGCAGTACCATGATATTCTTTGAAAAAACTCAGAGTACATGTAAATATGTAAATACCATGGTATACAAACATGGTAATCAGTGGTTTGCTACTATCTGATACTGACACTGTACAGTATGATGGCACTGCTACAGTACTTTTAATACGGTTACTAGTTTGTAGTCCAGAATTTGCCATATTCTCACCTGAAAAAGTTCTCTGCGTGGCCCATGTTCACCATATAGTCCTTTCCACCAACTTCCTGAAAGTGCAGGGCGATGAATCGTGGCTTATACATGTGCACCGTCTAAGGAGATATGATTTACATAAGACATGCAATTCATTATTCTCCAGTGTGTTTATCCACTGTTGCACATCTAAATTCATTAAAGGATCACATCCTGAGAATCATATAAGAACACTGATTTCAAATAAAAAACCTACTGTTTAAACAGAACTTAAATTCATAATTTATTAAAAACTGAGCAGCAAAACTGTTCCATTCCAAACTTTCACTTCCAATTTTTTTACCTCAGCAGAATGAATCAACACATGACCTTCCACATTTACAATGATGTCAATGATGCCTATTCTGTCTTCAGAAACTTGTCCTGAGAAGGGAGCAGGATAGATAATATCACTCCTAACCCCAGAAGGTCTTACTATTAGAGTACTGTGGGTATATGGTCAACACTGTGTTGTTCATGTCAGTCTGATCGTTAGCCCAAAACATTTCAGTGTAGATTATTTTTGTCACAGCTTATCAAAAAGTCTGTTATTTAAAGATAGAGCAGCACAAAAATAAGACTCATAAGCAAAACCATAAGCACAGACAACTTAAAGGTACATCACCAAAAACAATGACCCATTTAGAACTACATTTTGTTATAAAAAAAAAAAAAAACTTGCCTAAAGCTGCAATCACAATAGTGATATTTCAGCTAAATATCGCAGACAAAAAAATTGTCCTTTGTTAATAGTGTAGCAATGAAGCACAACTCACACAGAAGTCACTTTCAAACTAAGCAGCTTTTAGTGCACCAAATTCATGTGAACAACTTTGAGATGAGTGACATGGGGAACTTTTTTGCCCTCACATGAAACTCCTGAATGCATGGAATCCTATAGAAATGACTGGATTTCACCCATGAAATTGCAGGTTTGCAAAAAGTCTGAAACTGTTTATGGTTCAGTTGGATTCATTCGGAAAGTTCACTCACGCACTGGATCGTTTGCAGCGGTTAACACCAAAATAGTAACAGGACACTTTAGAAGACAAGAAACAAAAAGAGCACTGGATGAGGTGGATATGTACCTACAATCTATTGTAGAAAACAAAACTTGCAAATGTCTTCTATTGACAAAGCAGTTCTTTATTGCATGTGCAGCTTGTGAATGACTCTGTACTGCAGGTAAAGATGATTTATATACATTTATATCCAAAACAGTATTTAAAAAAAAAAAAAAAAGAGTATCAAAATATGGGCACACTTTTTTGTTCGGGGGCCTGTGCCTCAGTATTGATGAAACGCCCCCTGGACAATGTATTTTGACATAACAAAAGTTACAGTGTCATGCCCATTTAGATCCAGCTGGATTTCAATTAAATGTAAAAGAGGCAACAGAGATCGTGTACACATTACACCTAGCAGGAAAATCATCAAATCTGTGATTTAACTTCCTGGTGCTCACAACATGACAACAACAGATAACATACCATGATTTATGGTGCACAAAAGACAGGTTGTATAAATGAGACAAATACCTTTAGGTTTACAGTGTCCATTTAGCAGAGTAAAGTTCACTCTGCAAAGGTGTGTTGTGTGTGTGTTTATAGCAGGTTTGAACAGATGGAGAGCTCTGACAATGTCTGTGTGACTATTAGAACAGTATTTAAAAAAAACAGCTTGTGTTTAGCTTTTCTACTACGCTACATTGAGCAGCATCAAATGTGTGTGTTTGAATGAAGGACACGTGAAAGGCAACAAACTCACCGTGAAGAACTCTCGCAGCCAGTCTCCTTCAATCTCACCCACCTGAGGACAATAACCAGATTTCCCTGTTAGGCAACTTTTATAATACTAACAATATGTTCAGATTAACCTCCGCTGTGAGCTTTAAAGTGTAGTGCAGTGCAGATTTACTGGATAAAGGATTTCTGCAGCACATTCAGTAACTGAGAGATTACGACTGAGTGCTTTCAATTGTGACATTACAGGCAATTTTGCCACAGAAGTCTTTATCAAACCATTTATAGGCATTTAAAGGCAAGTGCTTCCATCATGATTACTTCCATCTTAAATTGATAAAACGTTCTTTATAAAATAAACTAGCAGTAATAGTTATATAGCACAGATTGTACATTAGAGGTGTGTTTTGCACTTTGCACATTTAGTTTGTATTTCACAGTTGAAATTTAAATGACAATAAAACAATTTAGCAGCTGTGTATGTGAGATTCATCAAGACGAGTCGGTGAAAGTACAGTACATCCATTCTACTTTTATCCTATTGCCAAACTACACAAGAAAAAAAATGGTCTACTCCAGGGCTGCCCAAACTCGGTCCTGGAGGGCCGGTGTCCTGCAGAGTTTAGCTCCAACTTGCCTCAACACAACTGCCTTTAAGTTTCTAGTATGCCTAGTAAGAGCTTGATTAGCTGGTTCAGGTGTGTTTAATTGGGGTTGCAGCTAAACTCTTCAGGACACCGGCCCTCCAGGACCGAGTTTGGACAGCCCTGGTCTACTCAATATAGTATCAAATATAATATTACTAAGATGATCGTATATGCAGTCAACATATGCTGCTGACAGAACAGATGTCTAACTCCATCCAAAAACTCAATAAATTAGGCTATTGTGTGTTTGAAAGGATACACAATGGTACAAAAGAAAAACATCAGCAGAATGCATGAATAATACATAAAGAACTGAAAGCAAAAACCATTTAAAAGTGAGTGTGAATGTGTGCGCGTGAACTGGGGGAAAATATTGATCAAATGTTTGTTGAACAGTTGTCTGAAGCACTGGCTTTGAGAAGCAGGTTTCAAACAGTCATAGCACGGTCACGTCACGTCTGATACATATCAATCTATGAAAAGTAAACCTAAACAATCTTCAATAAACAAGCTACAGGTAGTCCAAAATGCAGCTGCTAGAGTCCTTACCAGGTTAAGGAAATATGATCATATTACCCCAATTTTACAGTCTCTGCACTGGCTACCTATTAAGTTCCGTATCAATTACCAAATATTTCTACTTACTTATAAGGCCCTGAGTACCTAACTAGTCTTCTATCACGCTACAATCCTTCAGGTTCCCTAAGGTCGCAAAACTCTGGACTTTTGGTAGTACCTAGGATAGCAAAGTCCACTAAAGGAGGTAGAGCTTTTTCACATTTGGCTCCCAAACTCTGCAATAGCCTTCCTGATAATGTTCGGGGTTCAGACACACTCTCTCTGTTTAAATCTAAATTAAAAACATTTCTTTAGCCAAGCATTCACATAATGTATCTCATTATAACCTTGTACTCCAGCCATATCTGATCAAATGCACAAGTTGGTTTGAACACATTATCATTCTTTGCCTGGTTTGAATAGCAGCCACGCTAATTTTTCTCTATTTGCTTCTCTGTTTGTGCCACGGGATGGGCATCGCGAGGTAACTGGGAATTACACAACTTCACTCTGGATTCAGCCCTTACAAAGATCTGAGATGACCGAATGCCTGAGAAGAGAAGAATGCCAACCCCCTCCGAGGACCTCAGATGACGCCAACCCTGAACCAACACACAAAACTACCAAATTTTATATGTTTGGTTGCAATCATTGCTTTTAATCATGTTCACCGTTTGTTTGAATACATATCATTAACTAACTGCATGATTTTTTCTGTACATATCTGCCATTAGGACATCACCTTGACATAGTCTCCACTGATAAGCTACTCCTAAATGTAATGTAGAAACTTTCATTTTCTGTGAAGCTGCTTTGCAACGATTTGTATTGTGAAAAGCACTATACAAATAAATGTGAATTGAATTGAAACATAAACCTAAAACCATTCATCCTAAACATAAAGAAGCTCAATGAAATGTACAGGTGAGAAAACAGTGCAAAAAAAAAAAACAATCCATTTTTTAATAAATAAATAATATGTTGCAGGCTCAATTTTAAGACAATAACTGAGCAAGTAATTGCAAAATGGAAGAGATTGGCCTGATATATAGGCTGAAATTTTTACATATTGCCCTGGCTGAGATTTCTTAAACAAACAGATACATTTTTTAATAGAGCCACAGTATTACACTTAAACAATTGAAATCACTTTTCATTGAAATTGAATGGTTTTGGGATAGGAGAAAGTATTTTAACATTAAAAATTACACACGTCAGCTTTACACTGAAAATAATTAATTACGCTTTTAACCATTTTATTGTATTCATTCAAAGTGTGGTCTATTTCAAAATAATTACTATATAATGTCTTTCAACTGAAGAATTTAGAGAAATCGTTTCTTATAAAGACATTAAAAAGGGTGTTTCTTGGTCAGACTGAGATGAAAACTGGACCAAACTTTCTGCTGATAGTCAAAAGTCTGATTATGCAAGACTACTTTGAGGGAGTCTCCAGTGAATGAAGCACTGCATACGTGTATATTTGCATCTGAAGATCTGTGTCCTGCCGCTGCAGGTCATGCATAGCCGAAATGCCTGCCATTTGAGTGAGTAGACAAAAGGAATTAAGATTGACCTGACAAAGCTAGCAAGCATGTAGCTCTAAAATGTGATATGGGTTCAGGAAAGAGCTTAGATATTTCAGTTAACAGGGTGGAGAATAGATTCTATGATATATTTCAGATGTGTGATATCTTTTACAGCTATTTCAAGCAGCCCCTTGGGAAAAGGAAGTACACTTTAGAATACTTTTAAAAAGAGCATTTAATATGGAAATAATATAATTTAAAATAATATACTTAAGTGCAAACTTAATGTAATCTTTTCAGACATGCAATTAAATTAATGTTAATTGCAATTAAAAACATTTATTATCTGCATTTATTATAAGTTGAAATTTATATTAAATGCAACTAAACTTAAACTTGCTTATTTAACCCACTTAAGTAGGACTTAAGCACATCTTTATATGTAATTCTATTGTCTTTTAAATATGGTACTGCCGAATACTAACAAGCATTTATGGTCAACTAAAATATACTTTAATGTCATTTCTACTGAAATTTGTTTAAAGTATATTTGTAATTACACATTTATAATGATGAACTTGCAATTAGTACATTTAAAATAAATTGACTTTAAATGTAATATTGAATAACAGACTACAGTTAAAATAATAAAGTACTTTACATGTATATTTGTCAACACATCAAAATAAGAGTACTTATTTAAAGCACGAGAAAAAATTATTAAAACAATAATTTAAAATGCACTTTAAAGTAAAACTTTTATTTTAACATTATTACAAAGTGCACCTTTTAGAAGTGCACTTAAGTGTGTTAAGAAACATAGTTTAACATGTTTTCTTACAAATATACTATTAAGATTTGAAGTGCACTACAAGTGCACATTCAAAACTACTAAGCAGACTTCTTTTTCACAAGGGCCCCAAATTGATTTTTTGGTGCTGAATTTTAGGTAAAAATCTATAAAACTCTACAATGTGTGAATTAATTTAGTAATGTTTTTACTGTATTCATTATTGGTAGTTTAAAGGGGTCATATGATGCTGCTAAAATGAACATTATTTTGTGTATTTGGTGTAATGAAATGTGTTTATGCGGTTTAAAGTTAAAAAAACACATTATTTTCCACATACTGTACATTATTGTTTCTCCTCTATGCCCCGCCTTTTTGAAACGCGTCGATTTTTACAAAGCTCATCGGTCTGAAAAAGCAAGGTGTGCTGTGATTGGCCAGCAACGGTCCTCCATAAAATGTGCTGCACACATCTGAATATTTGGGTTGAAGTGTTCTGGTACAGTGTTGTAAATACAACTTAACCACTGATTTCTAGTCGTGTCCTCTTTTGGAAGGCCAAACAAAGTAGTTTC